AAACCTATAGCCCTGAATTTAATTGGATAACAGAATGAAATCATGATGAGTTTTTTATTTAAAAAGTACATAATTCCTGGTTTTGTCCATAAGTAAGGCCTAAAAACAGTGACCAGAATATAGTAAAGACGAGTAAGGTCCTGTTAAAAAGGACTCAAGCTTCCATTAGAGATGGGATAGTTTGAGAATCAAAAGAATAATAACTTGCATGGATTGAAACAACTCAAATACATTTTAATCCATGAATTCATAAGAATACTTTTTAAAAAAACCCTTCAGTGATTTCCTTCAGTCAGAATGGTTTTAGAGAACCAGACCATTATTTTGATAATTGGTAAGTAAAGGGGAAAGAATCAGGCATTTAGCCTGCGCTTTCTATGAAAGGTCTATTTAAAGATAACCAAATAATTGATGAGGGGATATTTCTCTTTATAGAAGGAACGAGGGAGTAAGAATATTACTATTTGGCAATATCTAAGACTGTTAACTTCACAAAAAGATAGTCACACATTGTGAACTCTCCTGAAGGACCATGACACTACTTATGAAGTAGTCTTGAAAAAATAAAAAGAAAGAGCCTAACTCCAATCAAGCTTCTACATTTAACTGTTAAGTGCAGGACTAATATGTTAAATCCACCATGGCATGCAGTCAGCACAGGAAACTTTATAGGACAAATGACTTCTACAGCAAATAAATTGCAAACAAAGACAGGAAATAAAGGAAGAACCTGTAGATTAAAAGAAACATAAGAAGTAAATTAATATTAATGAAAGCACTTGGTTTGCCCAATTCAAATAAATCATTCCTTTAAAATGTAGATTGAGATATTGAGAAATTATTGTAGATACCAACCTGATGATGGTATTATAGTTTTGTTTAGAAATGGGGATTTTTCTTTTATAGTGGAACTTCCTTAAAAACTTATGTATAAAATAAAGTAATACTGGGAATTTGCTTGCAGAGTAATTGGGGAAAGACATGGGTTGGGTTACGATGTGGATGGAGCAGCACCAGCCATGAGTTGGTAATTGTCGAAGCTATATGACAGGTGCTTAGGGTTTATTGTTATTTTCTCTGTAGTAAAAAGTTAGAGAACATAGGGTTTAAAGTCAAACTGCCTAGGTTCAAAATCCAGATCTGTTGCTAAGTTTTGTGACCCTGTGGAGCTACTTAGACTCTCTCTGTGTGTTAGTGTCCTTATCTATAAAATGGAAATAATATAATAATACCTAGATAATAGGGTTGTCGTGGGAAATAATGATAATAAGTGGAAAACATTTGTGAATGTTACCCATTATGGTACACTAAATGTGTAAACTAAAATCTAAAGTTGCTGTTGGTTAGAGATCTTGGTGTGTTTAGGAATAGTTCAGTTGAGTTTCTTGTTTAGTGTAGGAGCAGACTGAAACCCATGGCCAGCAAATGTCTACTGGTAGAACCAGAACCAGAACTCAGCTAGAAGTCTCTTGACTTCAGTCATTGCAGTGGCTTCACAGTAAATCATTATTGAATAATATTCAAATAAACTTAAGTATCTGATCTTAAATAGGGAACATTTAGGATCAAAAATATATTAGTTTATAGAGGGTATTATGCTTAGCGAAATAAGTCAATCGGAAAAAGACAGCTATCATATGATCTCCCTGATATGAGGAAGTAGAGCTGCAACGTGGGGGGCTTGGGGGGTAGGAAAAGAATAAATGAAACAAGATGGGCTCAGGAGGGAGACAAACCATAAGAGACTCTTAATGTCACAAAACAAACTGAGGGTGGCCGGGGGGAGGGGGGAGGGAGAGGGTGGTGGTGTTATGGACACTGGGGAGGGTATGTGCTATGGTGAGTGCTGTGAAGTGTGTAAACCTGGCAATTCACAGACCTGTACCCCTGGGGCTAATAATACATTATATGTTTATAAAAAAATTAAAAATATATATGTATTAGTTTTTTCCTGCTTCTAAAACTTATTGCACTTCAAATGAAAACTCAAGTTTGTTCTTGTTTGTTTTCTTTAAGAAGGAACAGATATATGTGAACAAAGATGAGTCTAAATTCTTCTGGTATTAAAGAAAACTTAATGAACAATGTTTAGGAAAATTTTGAGGAAATAAAGGAATAAAAGGAGAGTACTTGTTCTACCAAATATATAAAAATATATAGTTATAGTCATTAAGTTTGTGGTTCTGGTGCAGGAATAGACAGATCAGTGAAACCACTTAGTATCCAGAAACAACTCATGTTCATGAGTACTAGGATTTTAATACTAAAAGTACCTCAAGGGGTGCCTGTGTGGCTCAGTCAGTTGGGCGGCTGCCTTCAGCTCAGGTCTTAATCCTGGGTCTGGGGATTGAGCCCTGCATCAAGCCCCGTGTTGGGCTCTCTGCTCAGTGGGAAGCCTGCTTCTCCCTCTCCCTCTGTCTACTTGTGCTCTCTGTCTCCTTCAGATAAATAAATACAATCTAAAAAAAAAAACAAAACCTACTTCAAATCAGGTACTCTTATTGGGACTACTGAGGTTGTTGCCATTTAGAAAAATGTAAAGCTGGATATTTAGTAAAGTCCAGATTATTTCATTGACATGCTACAAGAAAATGGAAGTGAATATTTTTATAGTATGGAAGCAGGGAAAACCTTTGGAGTAAGAATAGTAAAATATAGGTGCTAAGAAAAATGGGAGGACTGATAAATTTTACCACATACAAATTGAAAACCTTGGTAGAATGGGACAAAAGAAAAAACAGAAGAAATACTGGCAGCATTATGAGACCTACTCTGTTAGTCCAGGGCCGGCAGGAGCCAGAAATCACACCAGGGATTTGAACAAGGACAGTTTAATATCAAGAATTATAACTAGTAAAAGTGTTTTAACTACTAAAAAGGACAAAATAGGACTCTAAAGAATACAGAAATAGTAAATATAAGGATCAGATACTACCTCTAGAGCCAAAGGAGAGAATCAAAAAAGTGAACAGACTTGAACGAGGGCCTCCCTGTTTGAGGTTGCAGTTCAGACCTTGGAGAGGGCATAGTTCCTGCCAGAGGACACAGCCAGGGGCCAGGCTGGTCCACAGATTTCCTTCTGGATTCCACAGACCTGAGCGCATGTGTGGAAAGTGACCCACTGGGGTGCCACAGACTGACTGATGACGAGCAGGAAGTTACTTCTTAAGATTAAACATTCTTTCACTCCTTTGGCTCCTACCACTTCCTGGGGTTCTACACACTTGCTATACTCTTGCTCTTCATTAGCCCAAATTATAAAGCTTATCTGGACCTCTTCCCAAGACCTGCCCCACTCTAGCCAGTGTCGTAGGCAAGAAAATGAAAAAAAGAGGAAAGCAGATTGGAAAGGAAGAAATGAAACTGTCTCTATTCACAGACACCATGATTGTTTATGGAGGTAATCCCACAATTGTCTGTAAAAAGCTGCTAGAACTGATGAGTCAGTTTAGCATGAGCAGAGGATAAAAAGTTAATATATGTAAATCATTTCACCTCTACGTGTTAGCAGTGGACAACTGGAAACTTTAAAAAAAAAAAAATTAAGTACCACTTAACAGTGGCATCCAAAAATGTGAAATACAGAAACACCCAATAAAGTATGAACAAAATTTGTATATTGGAAACTATGAAACAATGATGGGAGAAACTATAGAATGAAATAAATGGAGAGTTAACCCATGTTCAGGATAAGACTGACTCAGTATTGTTAAGATGTCAAGTTGTAACAAGTATAACATAATCCCAATCAAAATCCCAGCAAGCTAAGCACGTTTTAGCTCAATTATTGCTGCCTTGTGATACAGGGAGGCTTATCATTTGAAACTTTGAAAGAGGGATCAGTGAGACCACTTGTCAAGGAAGTCCTATAGGAAATTACATTTAGTGGGAGTTTAGACTAGATGATCTGCTCTTACTCTTCTAACTCAAAGTCTTACTCTGTGATTTATAAGTCAGTGTTTTACAACTTTGGAGCCAGAAGAAAGAGAAATACTGGAATATTTAGTCTTTTCAAGCATATTTAGCTTTTCCCCAAAGATCCTGTCACTCTTTCACCCTTAAACACTATTACATGCGATGAGGGATGTTACAAATGGAGGGTGTTATATGACTGAATTCTGTAAGGCCTCTAATGTGACATTTGTATGCCTTTTTTAAAAAGTTGTTGTTGTTATTTATCAAGCTGATTGAAAAGAAAAATAATGTCAGCTTACTCATTTTTTAAAAATTTTGCTTATGGTTCTTCCAAAATGATACAAGTCTTAGGGAAGTAGTCTTTTAATACTCATTTTTAGACAGCTTAGAATATTCATTTTGTCAATTTCTTCAACATAGTCAATCTAGCAAATATTTATTAACAAGGAAACTCAGAAATTAGAATTATCCTTCCAGTTAATTGTACCAGAATATCAATTCTTAAGGATACTATGTTCCTATCAGATATTTTAAATTTTTTAAAAAAAGTTTTATTTTAAATAGGCTCCACACCCAGTGTGGGGCTTGAACTCATGACTGAGATCAAGAGTTGCATGCTCTAGCATGGAGGACAAGGGGAGATGGAGAGGAGAAGGGAGTTGAGGGAAATTGGAAGGGGAGGTGAACCTTGAGAGACTATGGACTCTGAAAAACAGTCTGAGGGTTTTGAAGGGGCGGGGGATGGGAGGTTGGGGGAACCAGGTGGTGGGTATTGGAGAGGGCATGGATTGCATGGGGCACTGGGTGTGGTGCAAAGACAATGAATACTGTTACGCTGAAAAAAAAAAATTAAAAAATAAATAAAATGGAAAGACAAAAAAAATTGCATGCTCTACCAACAGAGCCAGCCAGGCACCCCCTAATATATATTTTAAATATATATTTGTTATATGCTTTGGTAAAAATATGTGAAAGCCTTAAATAATAAGTAAAAATCCTTTAAATTCTAGGATTTAAAAAATGCTTGAAATCTGAATAGCTATTTTTATTTTTAGTAACATCCTAATCTCCTTTCTGTTTTAAAGCCCAACCCGAATTCCTGAAACAGCCTACTAATATATATGCTCATGAATCAATGGATATTGTATTTGAATGTGAAGTGACTGGGAAACCAACTCCAACTGTGAAGTGGGTGAAGAATGGGGATATGGTTATCCCAAGTGATTACTTTAAGATTGTAGTAAGTATTTTTCAAAGGACACTTATCTCTGAAACCTTTAAATGTCTTTAAATATAATCACTAAGAGATCTGTTGTCTTATATATACCAGATTATGCACTACAGATGAAGACAGGAAAATACACATAGAATGTAATCTCTTCATTAGCTGATGAGAAAGCTGAGCCTAGACGTATTTTGGTAGCTTATATAAGATCACATAGCTAGTCAGTAGTTGAACTAAGCCTGATGTCCAGAGCTCCTGACCAACAGTCTGGTATTCCAACTCAAACATGCTAGTACTCTTATTAAACACCGTTGTCACTATTTTCTTGGTAATGATTATCCTATGTGTGCACCAGTTGTCTTCATAGCTCTCCATTCAAAGAACAGAAATCTGTCCTTCATACACTGATGCTCAGGCCTTTCAAAAGAAGTATGACCTAGGGTTGGACGATTGTTTTGACAATAGATAAAAAGATTCTGAAGAAGTAAATAATATTAAATGTTTAAGAATATTCAGCCATTATTGCTTTTTTATTTGATATGTGGTTAAATCCTTAGTAATCCTTATTATTATCATTATCTAAATGCTAGTAATAAAATTATCTAAATTTTGGTAATAAGGATTAATGTTTTAAGGTGTATACATGGCATTCATAGAAATAATCAGAAGTAATTATGGTTGTTACTGATGTAATGTCTTATAAATTTTTCATACAAGTAATTCATTCTTGGAATATATTTTCAATTATAAAATGCATAATCTCATGTTACAAAAAGTAATTTGCAAGTATATTTAACTAATTGAAAAGCAATGTGTTACAGCTAAATGAGCATTTTTACTCTTACCAGTTTCATATTCTTAAAAGTTTTAAAACTATATTAATAACAATATTTGACATTTATATAGTTCTTTATAATATAAGGGAAGCTTGTATATATGCATCCTCATTTAACTTCTTGTAGACTAGTCTGTTAGAACTAATGATATTAGAGGTAATTTTAAGAAAATGCCTTGAATTCACAAATTCAGACTTTTACTATGGTCATGTGTGGTATTATATGTCAGATACTTTTCCAACTAAAGGTGTAAGTCTACAAACACTGTGGGTAGTACTTTCCATAAGGATTAAGTTCTTAATTGGTTAGTTGTGTTTCCTGTTCTAGTCAGTTAAATCAGTACCTTTTCAATAAAATTGAGTTAACAGGTACGTAGATAGATAATATTTAGTAGCTGAATCATACAATTTTACTTACTTTTTCTACCTAGAAAGAGTGTATCCTTGAGATTTTGGACTAATGTTCATCAGTCGAATCCTAAAATTTTATTTATGTTTTTCTTTCTCAGAAGGAACATAATCTTCAAGTTTTGGGGCTGGTGAAATCAGATGAAGGGTTCTATCAATGCATTGCTGAGAATGATGTTGGAAATGCACAAGCTGGAGCCCAACTGATAATCCTTGAACATGGTAAGAGGGGCTGAAATAGTAAAATGAAAGAGGCTGACTGTGTTTGAGGAACTCCTATCTATCACAGTACTCTAGGATACTTCATGATTAATAACCTGTTTCTAAAGACCAGGATATGGCATAGCTAAGAGGAAAAAAAAGCCATTTAAGTATTTACTGTTGCTTAAAATGACCTAGAAACACAATTTTGGATGATATTGAAAAGAAGAACTGAACTGTTGCAGTCTTACACAAATGAATGTTCTTCATATTTCAGTCATTTTAATCCCACAAATATATTTCTGCTCTATTAAAATAGAAAAACTTAAAGTACTTTTTGTTTTGCATTGAATTTTTCCAAAATAAAACTAACATGCCTTTTCTAATTATCACACATTTAAATATGCTTATTATGAATTCAGACAACATTGAAAAATAAAAAAAGGGGGGAAAGCCATAGCCTTTATCAGTCAGAGTCCGTTCTGGGGAAATCACACAATAATTTGAACAGATAATCTTGTATATAAAAAACTATTAACTGTAACAGGATTAGAGTAACAAGGGGTTGGCTGGCAAGAAGTAGAGACAACTCTAGTGAACATAAGAATGGCAGATATAGGGGCGCCTGGGTGGCTGAGTGGGTTGGGCCTCTGCCTTCAGCTTGGGTCATGATCTCAGGTCCTGGATTCAAGCCCCGCATCGGGCTCTCTGCTCAGCGGGGGTCCTGCTTCCCTCTTTCTCGCTGCCTGCCTCTCTGCCTACTTGTAATCTCTCTCTGTGTCTAATAGATAAATAAAATATTTAAAAAAAAAAAGAATGGCAGATGTAGAGAGAAGTCACAAGCTGTAGGTCTGAGAGAGAGAGCATTAAGCTCCTCAGGACTGAAATCCAGACTGTGTTGGAGAGGGTGTGGCCATGTTTTACTGGACAACAGAGAAGTTGCTATGCTGTTGGAAACCTGCTCAAAACCCAGGGTCTGGTATGAACAACCATTCACAAGGAGGTGTCTCCTTGAAGGCATTTGGCTACAAAACCACCAGAGGGTTGGGTGTTGGGAGAAGCTTCTCTCCAGCTGATAAAATTTAAAACATATGTCCTCTGCAAAGAAAAGATAGATAAAGGGCCCATCTTCATTTCTGCAGAGCAGACAATAAGGGATGGATTTGGAATTGAGGGGCAGTAAATTGATAATGGCACATGCTCCAAACCCTGGTTCCTAAGAGTACTACATAAGAACATGCACTGATGTGTGTGTGGTTTGATGAGGCATTTTCTTGGAACAACGTGCTGTGAACATCTTCTCATGTCAGTAAATACATAGATCTGTATCAACTTTTCCATCACTGAACAGTATATTTGCACTTTGTTTTATGTAAGTGATTCCCTATTGCTTAACATTTAAATTGTTTCCTATGTTTTACTGTTATGAACGGTGTTATGCTGAACTTCTTTTTATGATTATTTTCTCATATTAAATTACTAGAAGTTGAATTGGTGGATAGTCTGTGTCCCATTGATAAGGATGCCTGTTGGATGTATTTTTTATTTGTTTTAACAAGAAGAATACTTTTCATTTTGTGCAGTTCTCAAGAATACATGAAAAAATCATGCTTTAGACATGAAGTCTGGTGTCTGAGTCAAATAAAGTTCAGGTTCCAGTTTGGCCCCGGCTCTGTAGCCTAGCTGCAGAAGCTCATTGGTGCAGATAGTGCCTACTCTGGCTTTCCACTAAAATAACATACAAGATTTTTATAAGCTCTTTCTTGAAAATGTATATAAAAAGGAATAAAATACTAGAACTTTTCTTTTTTCTTCTTATGTTTATGATTATACCTTTCCCTGTTTATTGAAAAATATTTATAGAAACTTGTCACTTTTCCTTCTTGGCAAATGCCTGAATATGATTGCCAATCAGGCACTACAGTAGATAGGATTGTTCCTTTTTTTTTTTTTTTTTTTTTAGGATTTTTAGGATTAGGATTTAGGATTTTCCTTGGTAAAATTTGTAGATCTCTTGGGTTGATTTACATGGAACTAAATAGAGGAATTTCAGTGTATGTGTGTTTGGGATTACCATTATAGATTTAACTCTAATATTATAAATGGTTGACTATGCAAGGAGATCTCTAAACTAATCCTAATTGGATTTTCATCTGAAAATATTTGGATAGCATAATTATAGTTGCAGTATGTGTTTTTTTTTTCCTTTTTGAGACATTTCAAAAATAGACATTTTGGGGTTGGCAGAAGTTTTTAGTAACTTTGTCAGGGATGAATTAAGAATGTGTAGATTATAACAGTCACTTTACTAATTTTGCTGTTTTAATTTGCAAGATAAATATTTATGTGGGAAAGCTAAAAGGGAATATAACAATTTATAAGCTCTGATCTCTGTCTTTCTGGAGTTTATAATATTGTAAAGGATGTAAGAGATGTGTACAACTCAATACCCAGTCCATAATAAGTTTTATTCTTATAATACAAATAAGGCAGCATACAGTTTGGGAGAGAGGAATTCTCTTTGTGTGATCAGGGCAGTTTTTTCATAGAAAGTGTAATCCCTTTTGTAACAGACCTTGAAGGATAAGATTTCCAGGTGTTAAAAAAAGGGTTTGGGTCAGTATGGAAATAGAACACTATTTAGGAAGTTAGCCTGTGAAGGCTGAATGGGATCAAAGTGATCAGGGCCTTGATTGTAAAGAGTCAAATACAATACTGTAGTAAGGCAGTCAGATGATAAAGGCAGGTTTAATTAGAAGTTGTTCATTTGACCAGGCACGTGGGTGGCTCAGTTAGTTAAGTTTCCAACTCTTAGTTTCAACTCAGGTCATGATCTCAAGGTTGTGAGAGCAACCCCCACGTCAGGTTCCTTGGGAGCCTGCTTGAGATTCCCTCTCTCCCTCTGCCCCCCCACCCTGCTTGTGCTAACCCTCACTCTCAGATAAATATAAAATCTTGTAAAAAAAAAAAAAAAAAAAGTCCATCTGAAACCAGTCTAACACTAACTGGAATTAAAATAAAAAGCCAAAAAAACAAAAATAAAATTATTACACACAGACACACACACACACACACACACACACACACACACACACAAGAAGGCAGACTGGAGGAGGCAGCTAGTTGAAGGAATATTGTTACAAGAACCATTGTGAGATAAATAATTATACTAGAAAAATAGAAAGGATTCTAATATTAGTGATTTATCTAATCCAGACTTTATCGACTGATTGAATATTAAAGACTGTTACAGTGAAGTCAGGGAAACTTGACAGGTTTTCTCTGGTTGACTCGAAGAGTGGTAATGCCTTTCCAAAACAGAAAAGGGATGTGAATTGAAGGGGAAGGGGGCTTCTACTCATGTAAAGAGTGGGCACAGAACATCCCACTCTTACCTACAATGACAAGCTGGATGATCTGCAAAACCCTAATTTCTCTGAGCCCATCAGAGAGCTCAGATTGCAAAGCAGCCAAGTAACATAAATTCGAAAGACTTGCACACCTCATTGCCCCAGAGAATGGGTCATTAATTTGACCTTTGGCAGATCATGAGAGAAAGAAATGGCTGACATAAAAGTTGGTAAGAAGAAATCAACTAACGTTTTAACTGATTGTTAAAGACTTAGTATGAACTAGTTTGGAGTACCGGCGGGCCCCAGATGACAGGGAAATTCATACATGCTTGCAAATGCATTTCCCAGGAAGTCCACAGAATACTCACTGTGAAAACTGGTGGCAAGGCAGAAACTTGAGAAGTCATTTTGGTGGTTAAGAGGTGAAAGAGGTAATTTATGGCACCTGGGAGATAGGTGCAAAGCCCATCTCATTTATTCAGACTCCTTTAAGCCTCAAACCAGTGAGGGAGGACAGAAAGCCTTATTTCATAAGTTTCTGGGAGCGGATTAGAAGCAGACCTTTCTGTTTCTGGAGGGAAGAATCCTCTGGTACACGGGGCCTATCTAATATTGAGGCTGGACAGGGACAACTGAAGATCCTACTTGCCCTATCACCAAGTAACAGACAAAAGCTTTTATGGCTGGGGAGAGGTCAAGAATATAGATCCCTATGTGGTAGAGGTATCCAGAAATGGTTGAAAGCTGAGAGGAAAACAGATAAATTGAGAAAAGCAAAAATAAAAATTATGGCAGATATTTTATCAGAAATGGTATAAGCCAGAAGACAATGGAGCAGTACTTCTAAAGTCCTAAAAGGAAGAAAAAAAAAGTCAACCCAAATAATATAACCAACAAAAATATCTTTCAGAAATGAACGTGAAATAGAGAACTTTTCAGAACAAGAGCTGAGAAAATTCATTGTCAGCAGACCTGTGCTGCAACAAATGTAAATTTCTTTAGGCAGAAGTAGTGTGATAGCTGACAGAAACTTGCAGGTCTTCACAAAGAAACAAACAGGCCAGAATGGTTTAAAAACAAAAAAGTAAACGTAAAAGCTTTTCTTATTTTCATCACTTTAAGAGATAATTTACTATCTAAACAGGAGAGCACCAGCCTTTTCAGCAAAGGGCTAGACAGTATATATTTTAGCTACTCAACTCTGCCCTTGCACTATCAGATCAGCCATATAAATCAAAATACCTTGACTTCCTGGAAAACTTTATTTGCAGAAAAGAGGGGGCATGTCCTTATTTGCTGATCTCTGATCTAAGGAAAAATAGCTTACAGCATATGAAAATTAAAATATATGATAAAACAGTGAAGTTTTTAACGAAAACTTTTTAACAAAAAATTACTATAGAATTGAAAATAGTTTATAACATAAATATAATATAAAAATATAAACTCTCAGTATGTTTCTCAGTATAAATATAGAAATATATAAAGTAGAAAATTCGTTTATAACATATAAAATTAAAATATATGACAAAACTGAAGTTTTTAACAAAAACTTTTTTTATTATGTTCAGTTTGCCAGCATATAGTACATTATTTTAACAAAAACTTTTTTTAAAAACAAAAAAATTACAGTTGAGTTGAAAATAAAACTTGTAAGATCCTTATATC